GAACATGAGCCAGCAGTGCGCTCTGGCAGCTCGAAAGGCAAATGGGATCCTGGGCTCCATCAGGAGAGGGGTGGTCAGCAGGGACAGGGAGGTGATCGTCCCTCTCTACTCGGCTCTTGTGAGGCCCCATCTGGAGTACTGTGTCCAGGTGTGGAGCCCTCAGTACAAGAAAGACATTGAGATTTTGGAAAGGGTCCAGAGGAGGGCGACTAAGATGATCAGGGGGCTGGAGCACCTCCCCTATGAGGACAGGCTGAGGGAGTTGGGCTTGTTCAGCCTGGAGAAGAGAAGGCTGCGGGGTGACCTCATTGCAGCCTATCAATACCTGAAGGGAACCTACACCCACGAGGGGAGTAAACTCTTCAAAAGGGCTGTCAACAGCAGGACTAGGGGAAATGGATCCAAGTTGAAGGAGGGAAGATTTAGGTTGGATGTTAGGGGGAAGTTCTATACAAGGAGAGTGGTTAGGCCCTGGAACGGGCTGCCCAGGGAGGTTGTGGATGCCCCGTCCTTGGATGTGTTTAAGGCCAGGTTGGACAGGGTCCTGGGCAACCTGATCTGAATGTGTGTGTTTGGTGGCCCTGCTAGGCAGGGGGGTTGGAACTACAAGATCCTTGAGGTCCCTTCCAACCCGGGTGATTCTGTGATTCTGTAACTACAGACATATTCTCTACCTTGTGCTCTTATGGTATTTCTCAATACTATGGCAGCCTGATTTTTGCATCTTTCATCACAGAACCTAAGAAGTTTCTGCTTGACCCAAGTAAGTCAGCGACTTCGGTCTTTTCAGAGCTAAGATAAGAGAGGCTGAGAGGCCTCGTGTGAATTAAATAAGTTTTCTTAGGTGAGTGGTACAGTTTAATGTAATGCATGTTTGCCCTGACTCCTGTTTTGCTCTTTTACTACCAGTTCAAGTTGCTTCCTACCAATCAATGTGCATAATTCTTTCCTTAGCTGTTTATTCATTTAGCCAATGAATTGAACAGAACTGTGCCACTCATTAGTTGAAATCCTTATATCTTTAAAAATAATCTAGATTCTTAACTGGGACACACTAGCACATTTGAATCACATTCAATTAGTGTAAACCAATTTACACCAGAGATTTTAAAATATGATAAATAAATGCAAAAATGCTCTTAGGAGTGATAATTCTGTTTCTTGGTTCACACAGTTCCTTCATAGTCCTAACTTTGACAAAATGCTAAGAGAAGCCAAATTAATTTTTGTTTTGTTCAATTTTTAAATTGGAATCTCTTTTCCTTCACAAATTGTCTGTTATTATTATTCATTATGTGTCCTTTGATGAAAAATGATACATGAAGAATGGTTTCTATTACTGAATTATTTTTGCACATCATGCTTAATTCTGCAAATGAAGCAGATAAAGTCAATGAGGCTCAGTTAAGGACCAAAACTAATTCTGAAAGCTAATTATTTTCACAAGGGAGACTCTTCAAGACTATAAATTAGAAGGTTGCTATTCTAAGATGTTACATCTTGAGCTGAGTTAGTTACATCTGAGTGAGAGAGGAACAGGAATGCTTACCTGTTCCCCAGTTGAACACCTAGCTGTTCAGTTAGAATTATGTAGATATTCACTAAATAAATAGGCAAAAGTATTGTGACATTTCCTTATTTGCTTTTTGAACAAAAATGTTTCCATGGTGCCACTTTAAATGCAGACATCAAGGCAGGTAAAAGGCCCTGTTTTCTGCTGAAACCATCTTATTACTTCAGTAAGCGTGAGATCAGCCTTTGTGTGGAGAATTACTTCAAACATGTTTTGTTCAACACAACACATGAGAGTCAGAACTACACCTAGGTTAAAATCCACTCACCTGTGATCCTCTGAGCTAGAAACAGACTTGGTAGAATAAGAATGGCAGAAATTTTGCTTCTCCAGTCTGAGCGTGTGTCTACACTTCATAGATCCTTCTGAGACTATGTGAGGACCAGAAACAACATCAGCACCAACTTACTTACTTTCTCTTGAATACTGTGTCCAATCCCGATGTGAAGCTGTCCATCTAACTGTGTGCACCTGCTCAAATAATGAATTTTATAAGCCAGATCAAATGGTTTATATTTCAGATTATTTTAGTTGTATGGAAATAAATTTATTATTTGCTCTTCTTTTTCTATATATGTATGTCTCATGGACAATCTTACTTCCCATAGAAAGGAAAATTAAAATATTGTACCAAATGAACAAACATTTTAAAAACATACCCAAATACACTTTTTCTTCCTAGTGTAAGGAAGGCATATGTCTGACTCTTAAAAGATTTTCTAGTGCTTTTTAAGGTCTTGGACTATTATTCATTTTCAGATTTGTTCAGAATTCATAAAGACCCAATAAAAGTAAAAAGCTGCACTCTGAATTAAGCCAAGGAAATATGTGGTAGATTCTAAGCAGCATGAAGGGTTGCTGCCTGTTTTGACTCTGCATATAGTCCTGTAACACTGACGGCAGAAATGCTGATGACTTAAGGCAGAAATCATCTTTTCCTGAGTTACATTTGTACAATGAGGTCCTCATTTACAACAAGGTAACAATGCAATACAATGAGAGTAAACTTCATTTGTGACTGTTTCACTCTTCCTTTATTCATTTTTCTTACTACTTCACTCTTACAACTTCTCTTTTTCCTATTAACTCTTACATCATATTACCAGCTGAGAACATTTGTTGGCCTTTGTCTCACACACTCAGCCTGCCAACCAGGAGGCTGCCACAGCACCCTGCAGCTATAGCATCCCTGTGGGTGCCACCATTCCATCCTCCTCATCCTGCTGTAGGACTCTTTAGCCAGGCCAGAAGAGGTCTTTTTACACATTTCTACACATCACTGGTGCAAAACAAACTCACTGCCCCTTCTCATGCTGACTTTCTCTAGGTTCTATTCTTCTATTCCTTGCCCAAATTCCTGATGAGGCCTGTAGTAGGTAATAACACTTGCTAGCTGCGTTCTGTTATTCATCACATGTACAGACCTTCCTTTTCAGTTAGATTCCATGTGCCATTATGTACCTGGTTTACAGCATTCCATCTGCATCTGTTGCTCCAGTTTTAGAGATGAAGTGCTCTTTAGTTGTCAGTCTTGGTTATTAATATGCTCAAATTCTTAAAGAGGGATATAATTTGCTTCCCAGGCTTTCTTCACATACAGCACAGCTTTATGTCACCATCCCTGCTGCTCTGAGCTTACCAGATGGCTCTTTGTGAGCAGGTGGTATTTTTTCTTACTGTTGGAAGAAATATATTTACTCATTCTGGCACCCATGGGAAAAAAAAAAAAAAAAAAAAAAAGTAAACTTTAAAGAGATATATTAAAAATATAAATAAAATGCGTGTAAGAGTTATTGCCAAATTGATATTGGACCAAAGGCACCTATTCAAGTGATCAGCAGCCAAAAATGAAGTATAGAAGCCAAGAGAATTGAAAGAACCATTAAGAACATTAAAAAAATAGAAGCAGCAGATAAATCTCATACTGTGATGAATGATAGCCAAGGAACATCTAATCATATCAGGGTAGATTTACTGAAATAGCTCAACCAGACAAAAATGAAGAACATGAAAAGGATGGTTTAAAAAATATTGGAATGTTCTTTTTTTTCTGACAATTTTTCATTAATCTTCACGAAGGAATAAGGATTTATTTAAAACAAATTAAATTAAGTGTTGAGCATTACTGTACAATTCCTCTTTATCTTGGCATGGCTGTAAAAACACAGCATTCTCTGCAATTGCATAAGGGATGCAGGATGGAATTTTTTTGGCATTTTCCAGCCACTTCTCCCTCATACATCCACATGCAAAAGAGTGGGCATCATCCATTGGAAAATTGCTTACTGCTGTGAGAAAAAATGAAACATGAAACATCTAGAGAATCAACATACAGAAGACAAGGAAACTATCGAAAGTATGTCTATGGGTTTCCATTCCTTGATTAATCTATCAGGAATTTTGCTTTTAATAGCAATGTATCTGAAAATTCCTGGACACAATTGAAAATTAAAATAGAGAAAGTAGCTATGTGTGCACGGTATGAGAAACTGATTTTAAAAAGCAGTGTATACCAACAGACTGGACCAAAGCTGGACTTCTGACTCTACAAATACAGATTGCAGACAGTTTTATCTTAGCAAATGCTCATCTCTTCTGTTGCATCCTTTAGGGTGGAATAACTTGCTTTGTTTTTCTGCTAGAGCTCTTCTTGTTTTCATCACAATTATAGAAAGAAAATTGAGGGAAATAAATGTTCTGTGGGAGTTTTCTTCCATGAAGTAGAGGATAAAAGCAGATTCTCTCTGTGAATACCAGAAGAATAGATGTAATGTACATTTTGTGTAAGACAAATACACCTCATATTCAGTCAACAGCATAGACATTATCAGAGCTTCAAACTATTCCTGATATGTTTTTGGAATCAGAGACCAGCTGGCCTGAAACTTAGGGTTGAATAAAATTCAGTTTGTTTCTAGGACTTGAAATTCAGTGCAAGCTGGGTAAGAAACTAAACCCTTCATTTTGATCCAGGTGTGTTGGGAACGTGCTGTAAGAAACTAAAGCTGACCACTCAATATTTTTTTTGTTTTAAGCAGAGGTATGCTAACAATTGAAATGCTTATTTTTGCTATGTACTGATGTGGGATGGTCCTACAGGCATTCCATCTGGTGTAATGTTGTTTTGGGGCTCAATCTCTTTTTGCAGCTGGGCTGCTCCTAGAGGAGTGTGAGGGGAGAATTTGTTTGTATCAGTCATTGCTGGCCATCCACATAACACTCTGGATATAGTACATGGAGATGTGTTCAGCGTTCATGAAACATCTTTTTATGAGGTGATAGGAATTTGTATTCAGAAAGTCCAGTGCCTTTGAAAAATCTTTGCTTAGCATATAGCTCCATTTCCTACTCACCTGTTAGCAATACAAGATGACCATAAGGAAAAAAAAAAAAAAAAAAGCATTTCTTATTTTCTTCTAACTTCCAGATTTCAGAAATACTGATCCAGAAACTGAACCAAAACTTCGTCCATTTTGAGTTGAAGCCAGGGGTTCGAGTCCTTGTCCATGCTGCCCATTTAACAGCAGGTGGGTGTCCTCTTTCTTAGTACACACTCGCTGTTGATAAGCAAGCAGAACTCAGCGTGTGAGCAGAATTAAAATGCCCACTCCAATCCTCTGTTCTTTGTCACATCAAAAAAGTATAGTGGCATTTATAAATTTATAAATAATAATTTATAAATAATTTATTTATAAATTTATAATGCCAGCAGTAGATGTATGTACTTTTCGGCTGTCTTTGAAATATTCAACAGCTAAGGAGCACCATGGTATATTCAGCCTGGATCACAGAGTGCAAAGTTCACCAGCAAGTGCTGAACATTTTCTGATAATCTGGTGCAAATGAACAATCACAGCAGCAAAGCACAGTTAAAAAGCTGTTCAGCAGTCTGAAAGAGTCAATTTACATATGCACATACACACGCTTAGGCAGTTTGCCCTGTAACTAATCCTATCTCAAAATAAACCAAGTCTGAAGTCTTGATATTTAATTACACGTCTCTGCGTATTCTGTATAGAAAACCCTCATTTCACAGTACAGTTCCTATTTAATTATTGTAGGAGATGGGATGTATAAATCCATGCTCAGTATTTTAGGAATTCCTTTTCTGGTGGATTTGCTGGATAAAAATCATAATTCTGATCAACTTCGGCTGCTAACATGCAAATAAAAAGCCTCAGTTCACTCATGCTAGTGATCTGCTCTACAAAATGCTGTTCGTGGTATGAACTGGTCTGGCCAAGGTGGTGTGAGTCCATGTGCTGCCCTGTCAACAAAAGGGAGGAAAAAGAGACTTTAAAAAGAAGTGTGGTGTGACTGCATTTACATCCTCCTAGAAGAAAGCCTTGATGTTAGCAATACTTTGTGTTTTCTAAGCAGAACTTGCTAATATCTGCGCTGGGAATATTGCTGCCTGTTTCTTCTTTCCTTTAGATATGGAACATATGAGCGATGTTTGCTTTTAGAGAAGTTAGAACCAAAAGCATAGAAAAGCAAAGATATAGCACAGCTGGTTAATCTCTTAAGAATATAATAATAATAAAAATAATAATAAAAACATCTTGGACAGTCAGTTTGACTGTTCTCTATTTTGTAGACTGTAAAAAAATGTTCATAGACATATGACATAAGAATTGTATAACTCTAATAACTCTATGTTTAAGTTTTAAATCTGTACGCATTTTTTGGCCAGTGAAGCAATCCTTGCCCTGAATGTTCTACACTGGCCGGTGATGCAATATGTTCTTTCAGAAAATGCTCAGTGTTCATCTTGGAATTCCAGGAAAACTGTCTGAAAGCATCTGAATGTGAGCTTGCAACATGGAGTTACCTGAAATTGCTCACTGTTTTTGTAATTTGTTCCTGTGTGTTTACTCTGCTTGTGCACATTGCTGTTTTGCTTTTTGACTGATGTTCATTAAAGTCAGGATCAAATCCCACATCAGCATTTAGAAATGACTCATCTAGACCTGAAGATCCTATAAGCCTTTTCTAATAAATTGTAGTTGGAAAGAATTGCCTCAGATATACGTGGTTAAGGCTCCTCTTTACCTTTTGCTACTGCAGGGACATACTGCATTTCATGCAGTGGAAACATGATGCTTAAAATCATGTCTCCAGCCTCATCTTTCATACAGGGTGAATCTCATCCATTTGAATTTAATCCAAATTTTCTGCTGTGTGTAGGAGCCTTCTGCACCTCCTTGGAGAGGAATCTGGGATATCTCTGCTTGAGTGTGCAGAGTTGCCTAAAAGCTGGGCAGCTCCAGTCCAAAGCCAGTTAGCACAGGTACTGACAGCTTTTCTCCTGGGCTAGAAAGCCTTGTGTTCTGCCCTGTATGAACCAAAAGGCAGGGTCTATAGTGTGGCACACTGCTCTACTGTGTAACAGAGACTGCTCAGTTTAGACGTGCTGCATAAATATAGGATCTTTGTGCTTGCTGAAAATGTATATCTTTATGTTTTTGCACACACCAGGAATGAATACTTTTTGTCTGTAATAGATGCAAACAGTCATTTGTGCTGTCAGGTAGGTTTTTGTTTCTTCCCTTCTAAGCTATCAGTGAGATGTGAGTGATTGCTGTAACAATTCACAATGTCCTATAAGGAATGCCAAAGGATTTTGTCTCTTGCCGAAATATGATTCAGCAAGAATGCAAAATAAGCCTGGATTGCCAAATTAGATATCAAAAAGCCCAAAGAGCAGCTACTGTAGAGTCATTGAGGGAATATTGTCCCTTATCATGTTGCTGATCTCATGGTTCAACTTCCTAAGTAAAAAGCCCACTTTTGTGACATCAAAACTGGGGAATAGATTAGAATTTGACAAAACGCCAAAAGAGATATTTGCTTTGCTGCTGAAAGCTCTTGTGTGCACTGTTAAGGAAAAAGAATTCTGCTTTTGAAATTCAGGCTTTTAAAAAAACTAAGATAAAGCGGGGTTCAAGCAAGGCAGGACCAGAACAGAAGCAGTCCCTGGGAAACACAACCCAGGGGGATTCACATGGCTGAGAGATGCAGCTCTGGAATGTAGAATCCTATTTCCAGTTTTACTTTGTGTTGGAATCCTGACAATTATGGGTTCTGTGTGGATTGAACCCCACAGCTCATCAAGTGTTTTTGTAAGTGCATGTGTACATATGTGTATTATGGAATCATATAATCGTAGGATAGCTCGAGTTGGAAGGGACCCAGAAGGAACATGGAGTGCAATTCCTGGCTCCTCACAGGGCCACTCAATAATCAGACCACATGTCTGAGAGCATTGTCCAGACAAACTTGTATGTAAATGCATCCCCGTTTCTCAGTGCACACATGTTGCTCCTTGTGTGTGTACCTGGTCATACACAGCAGAAATCTCAGCATCAGAGAAGCTGCAGAGAACAAAAGTGCAAATGTCTAAATTAATTTGGTTTGGACGTTCAAGCAGAATGTGCAGAAATGAGCCTCTTTGTGCACGTTGCATTTAAACACATGCCTTCCAAGGGACACAGAAGAATGACAGGCGTTGGGCTCAGCACGTTTCACGCCTCTGTGTTCTTTGTTCAGGCCACACTGGAGGAAGGATTAATTCATGGCAATTCTGGACAACAGATTGCAATCCATTCATCTCGTTCATTTCTGCCTCTCATGAAAAAAAATTAAAACAATGTCCCCAGCTCAGTGAACAACAACCCCAGTTCTAAGGAAGAATAAAATATGCCAGCATTCCTCACAAAGCAGTTAAATAGTTGTTTATGGCAAGGTTCTGAGTGCAAGATTAGAACAAGAAGATTGAGTGGCGCTGGAATCAGTCAGAGAGCCACTTCACCATCCTACAGAACTGCAGTGAGCCACACAGTAGAAACACACACACACAGTTCAGATGTATGAAGGATTCATAGCAATAGATGCCTCAGCTTCCTGAGCACAGCCTGCAGGATGCAGGAAGTTTTTCCACTTCTCCTGATAAAATCTGGTTCATAGGCTGGGTATGATTGCTGAAAGCTTGCGTATGTGCAACACTGCTGCTGGAGTCTTTCTGTTTGTGTGTGTTATTTGAGCGATAGAAACTGCCTCTTTTTAATATTGTTTACTTTGTATTTCTGGGAAAGCACACTTCTGGATGTTTTGTGTGGCCTTATTTTGCAAGGGGCTATGAAAAGGTGCTGCAAAACTCTAAAGAGAAGCACTGGGAGACTTCTCGTTTGATTAAGAATTTTGATTTTCTATTTCTTTTTCTTGAACCTTTGCACTTCCTTGCAAAGATGACTTGTGGGAGAGAGAACAGGGCATGAGGGAAAGAGAGAAGTGTTCCAAGGAATAGGAAAGGGATAGACAAAGAAACTGAATATGTCAGAGGTGTAAGAAGAGCTTGCCATGATAAGGCTTGGATGCTGAGGCAATGTTTGTGAAGGGCACCAGCCTCCTGATTGTGAAGAAAGAGGACTGAGCAGAGAGCAATACATTTGGTACTGGGACACTTGCTTCAGAAAAATCCAGTAGCCAGTTGCTCATTATTCAGCAGGCATTGAGAGCTACCCAGACTAGCTCCAGGCAAAATAGAAAGTCAACATGACAAGGTAACCCATGGGTAGCTCCAGGATCCTTCAGAAAGTCTGGGTTTGGTACTCTAGTGACCTCATTTGCAACTACCTTCAGTAACTGCCTGCAACATAAGAGGGTATTTTTCAGACTTTATTCTATAAAGTGCCAGAGAGGAGAGGCCTCTAAAGAAAAAGCTATGGTGCCTTTAGGGCTTAGACTGAGCACAACACCTAGTCTGAACCCAGGTTTCTTCCCAGCTGTATTGGAAAGAGAAAGGAGCCCTGAAGACAGGTGGACAGATGAGACGCTTATAAATGCCATAGGAGAGAATTAAGTACATTTTTGGAGAGAGAACTTTTCCCTCAAGGCCGGAGGTGACTCTAACCTTATCTCCCTCTCTTGCAGCTCCCCTGGTGGACCTCACTCCCAGTCACAGTGGTTCAGCAATGTTGATGCTCCTCTCTGTTGTTTTCGTGGGACTAGCTGTGTTTGTAATCTACAAATTCAAAAGGTATGACCTTCCCTGGGCCATCTGTTTCTCCCCACTGCTGCCGGGGATTTATTTGCTGGGCTTCCCTTTTCACAGTGATTTGTTTCTTGGTTTGCAAAAGCTAATGCTACATCATCTGCCAGAGTACCCCCCAATGATGGTTTTTGTTAATGTTTTAGGAAGATTCCTGGCCTTAATATATATGCACAGATGCAGAATGAAAAAGATCAAGAGATGGTCAGTCCAGTCAGTCAGAGGGAAAGCATACCTAATGTCCCTCAAAGTGAGCTGATGAGCCCTGAACAACTAGTAGATGAGAAGTTGGATGTCCAGCCCATAGGTAAATAACTTGCAGCAACCCGCAGTTGGTCAGACTCTGACTGATAATTGGCTAACCCTTTTCTCAGTCTTCCCCTTTCCCATCTCCCTGCACACTCCTCCCGCCATCCTCTTCTGCTGCAGTGTTAGCTTTGCTACAGGAAACCTTGCTAACTCTCCCCTCTCCCTCACTGCCCTGTGAAAGGGAGAGAAACAACTTTAGGCTTTTTCCCTCTCCTAGTTGCTGTGTAGATCCTCTTCCCTTCTCAAAATCCCTGCTGCACTTAACTTGCACTATAAGGCAATTTAATTTATTTTGCTGGGGCTGATGTTGTTATGGGGCTACAACTCACACCCGAGTCCTGTCCAGGAGAACTTCAGCCACCCTCACCTGGAGCATGGAGGTGAGCAGGTGATTCGGTAAGTCAAATCTAAAAGTTAAGTGTTTGTTCACGTTTTCACTGCTGTGGCCTGTGTGATTCTCAGGGAAATAGAGCACAACCTGGGATCTCAGCACTGGGCTACCGGGTTTCCCCTCAGGCTGATTGCTCCCACATGATTCTGGTTGAAAATTAACATTGGGATTTAAAGTGAACAGTATTGAGGAGATCATGCTGTGTTCAGTCACCCATTTGCTCATGCTTACGTTATCACATTATTCTGAAGAAAGTGTTGGGATGAAGCAGGAAGGTTTCATTCTGGGGGTATTCTTCTAAAGCCAACATTGCTTGGGAATTGCTTGGGCATTGTTCAGCTTCATTTGTAAGGGGAAAGTTCTGCAGGCCCAGACCACGGGAACAGTACAGGACTCCAGCAAATAAGAACACAGATCTGCTTTAGATGAATTACTCATAAAATGTACAGTTCTTCTTACTGAGATAGAACTGATGCATAGTCATAACTAAGATATTTTATTTTCACAATTTCATCCACTTAACCAAGTGTTAGATCCCACCCAAGGAAGACCCAAAATTGTGTGGGAGTTTGTTAAAGCAGGTTTGATGTTTTAGCTACCACAGAGAGAGAGAAAGGGGAAGAGCAATTAAAAGAGGAAATATGATGTGCTAAGATTGTGGCCTGTGAAACATCTTGGGAGGAAAAAGAAGAAAATCTCTTGATGAAATTGATGTCTAAATTGGAAGCTCCAGTACAATCAGTAGTGATCTCTTGTCACACATTCACCAAGGGGAGATCTGGTAGCTATTAAAAGCTTTTTAGCAGCTATCCATCAGCAGACCTGGATATCCCTGCTTAGCAGTACACAGGATGGAGTGAGGGAACCAACCTTCCCATGTGGTGTTCCCCATACAGAGCAACCTCAGGCCACAGTCCAGAACCCAAGGAAAGGAAATGCAGCCAAGGTAGTCTGGACAGAGGACTTCCAAAAGGCTTGTGGATCACCAAGAGGTTTCAAGCCAAGACCCGGAGCGGTGGGTCCTAAATTTTAACAATTATTCTTTCTTTCTTTTCTTTTTTTTTCTCCCCCTCTCTTTTTATCCTGGAAGGTCCAAAATTGGTCTAAGTTGCTAAGAGAGAAACACCCAATTTCAGGCCAGGAAACCAGTTCCCAGAGTTAGTCGAGCTTTTAGATTCCTCTTTCTAAAGGAATGTAATGATGATGATTTCCACTGTTGGCAGAGAGTAGCAAACATTTTCAGAGGTCATTCAGACTGAAGAGACAACAGTCAGCTAGCCACTAGCTCTACTCTTGCTGATGTTGGGAATTAATCTCTTGAAGTCTTTGGGATTACAGAACTCAAAAGCCCATTTGGGGGTTTGGTTTTCATTTGGTACAACTGTAGCATTTTTGGCTTTCTACAATAGCTAGCATTCTGTGGATTTCAGAGCTGTACCCTGCACTGCTGATCACTGTACTGAACCAGAAATTGGCCTTTTATTTATCCTTGGGTTTCACCTGTAACTACAATAGTAAGCACAAAAGGGACAGATAGTCTCAATTCTCCATCAAAATAAATCCTTCCAACAAACTTCTTAGGAGTGTTTTTTCCCCTTCTGGCAGTAAGACAAATGTGGAAACTAAATCAGAGATCACTGACAAAATGAGAAGGTCTGGACATAGATGTGAATAGAATAAAGTGCAAAGGCTCTTTACACTTGTATACAATCACTTCATGTGTTTTTGTAAATCAGCAATTTCTTTTTTAATGAGTTTTCCTCCTTTTGGGAAAACCAAACAATACTGCAATTGGGTGTTTCTCTTCATATGCTTGTTCAGAAGCTAGTTTTTTTTCCAACTCGTTTGACTAACGTTCAGACACCCTTCCTTGGAGGAATGTAAATGAACGTCCCTGGATCATTTAATTTTCTCTCCAAACACTGGCAGCAAAAAACACAGTTCCTATTTTCTGGGTGTGAGTAGTTTAGGCTCTTCTTTTGCAAAGGCAAAGCTTAAGGTTATTTATGAAATCTCTAATACCTTCTAATTGCAAATGAGTTATGCTTTTCCACTGAGGACCTCAGCCCCTCCTTCCCTCCACCCCTCTGCTCTGGCCACTCCCTCTTCTATTCTACATGGGTGAATCATCTTCATTGGCAAAAGAACAGTACATCGCCTTCAGTGTTTTGAATGACGAGAAAACATTTGTGAGAAGAACATATCAGTCTGGAGCCGTTCAATCCCAAAGGCCAGCAAGGTTTCACCTTCAGACATCTTCAACAAAACACAATAATTATTTGCTGACTCTTATGTTGTTCTCTCTTTGCCACAGGAAGTATTTCCACAGCTGCTGAGCCCCAGAGCACAAAAGAAATCCCTACCTATGTAAATGGTTGAATTGAGGACACCGATATATATCTATATTGGAGAAAAAAAGAGAACTCATTGCATTTGGACTTTTTAATTCTTCAGATGACAAAGGGTTTTTAGCTTTAAGCCTGTGCATGTGGACATTATACTGAGACCATAGCAGAACTGCATTGTACAGGTGTTCAATTTTAGTGGGGGGTGGGGGTGGGGGGAGGAACTGATATCACTATTCACCCCTGAAGCCCTTCCCGTCACTCCTCCACTCTCTTTTCTTCTGATCTGTCTCTAATTTGTAGAAAATTCATAATGATATAGGCCAAGAATATGCATGGGGGTCTCTTCTTTAGGGAGATGGGTGGGCTGAGATGTGGGGGGATAAGGGTTGGGGAGGTGGGAGGGAGCATCTAGGTTCTTGGCTTTAGATTTAACTGCTCAATTTTAGCACTTTGAGGCCGTGGGAGGGCTAGCCGCCCCAGCAGACTTTCATAGGACACAAGAGAAATCACACTGGAGTTTAAAGGCACTGAAAATCTTGGGTCAGTCTGGTTTATGTCTTAATTTGAACTTTGCCCTTCATTCCTCTAGCTGCAGCTGCTGCTTGCGCCCCACAGTTGCACAGAAACTGAGTATGAGCTTGGGCAATCCCAACCGCAAAGCCAGGCTCCTCCTTATTAAACAGCTTTTTAGCCTACTCACACCAAGGCACCCCTTTGAGAGCACTGTTTGGAAATAACTTTCTGCCTCCCAACCTTGGGCTGAACAGAACTAGGATGCATTGCAGGCAGGAGGTCTGTATTGCCAGCATGAACTTACACTGCATTTTGTACCAGCCTTACAACTTAAATTTTGACTAAGATAAAGCCTAGTAACACCCTCAACCACTTTTACTGTTGATCTTGGAGACCACTGTTTGAGGTGGAAAAGGGGAGAGCAAAGCTGGATTTGGCTTGAGCACGTTCCCATACATTTTGAGCCCTAGCACCGCAGGACAGCTATTGTACAAGTTCTTACCACTAATATAAGTGGTGCCTTACATTGCAACTGGAAATGTGAGTTCAGGACCCCTGCATGTAGGCTACACAAAAGAACAGGGAAAGCAGACTTAGCACACCTCAAACAAGACCACAGCACCAGGTATCTGGCTGAAGCCTATCCCATAATCATCACAATTGCTGATTTACAACACCACTCAGGTAAACTCAGAAATAAGATTTTGGCTCGAAGCACAAAGAAAGAAATACAGTTGCCAACATACATTTATTAGCTATGCTAGGTGAAAGCCAGTACCACCTAGTTCATAATTGGTGTAGCATGATTAGGATGCATCCTGATTCTTGATATGAATGTGTTTTGTTCAGTAGATGTTGCTCAAGGCAATCTTTGTTAAATATGGGGAAAAGGGACATTCTTGGCATTGACTGGGGTCCTGGAGCTGGGGAGGGATGACTTTGAATTTCTCTGTCACAAAATGGATATCAATACCACTCAACCTACTAGCTGGCAAATAAATACATAAAAAGTTATATCAAATGTAAGAGCACCTATCAGACCTACAGTAGGCAAAGGATGATCATAGTTGGAAGTTCTCTGCCACTTTCTGCAGTCTCTCTCAAACAGCTAAAAACACAGCAATTTGTATGGCTTTGCTATTGTGTTTGCAACTACAGCTTTAAGAAAGATGGGAAAGTTTTGGTAGCAACTGTATAATACTCCCCAGTGAAGTCCAACATTAGCCAACTTATTTTTATAGTAAGCCAATCAAAAAGTTTTCTTATAGTGTTGGAACTATTTCTAATTTTAAAATTACTTTTTTTTGATGTATTTTTTCATCTTCTTTTTCCCTTTCGTTAAATACAATGTAGCGTAATGTATAATTGCTATCGTTTATTGCTTTTACAGTCATATTTATTAAACAGATTATGTCTCTAAATGAAGACCTGTGTTTCTGTTGCTCATTTTAATTATCTGTCTAGACTGAGATCACTAATGTTAAATTAATGTTAAATAATGTTAAAACAGTAGGAAAACCTTTGAAAATAAAGGGATGGAAGTTAGAGAGGGCGGATAAAGTGTGCTTCTGAAAAAATGCTATACTTACAAGCCAAGATTAAGATAACTTTTTTAGCCTTCAGGCAAAGTGCTTTATAAGTGAAACTTGGAACTCTTACTTACGTTCTGCAGGTGGAGAAACTGTGAGATGCAGAGAGAGAACGCTGTTTCTCTCGTTTCCAAAGAGGCAGTGGATTGAGCTCTTTGGAGCTCCAGCTCCATTCTTTGCCTATGGTTATCTTTGCCTATACACAGTTACTGTTAAAGGTTCCTTTAAAATATGTTTTTGAGTAGCCTTTTGCCAACATTGCTGAAGGAAGTTTTTTGGGTATTGCCATTACTAATTCATCACGTTTTGCACATGAAAGCAATGAAACATAGGAAATTTCAGTCATCTTGCAAGGTAACAGGGAGAGCACGTTGCTGTGAAAAACACATGCTGCTCTACTTTTCAAGCTGGGTTGAAAGCACCAGATTGTTTGCAGGCCTCCCCACCACAAAAGCCATGATATTGCACAGTAAGTACAGAAGTGCTGAGTTTGCTTACTGGAGGAGCATTTCCCATCCTGGTAAACACCCAGTATAATTACTAGTCTGAAATTGTGAAGCAGACTCCAGCATTTCTTTACCTTCCATTCAGGGTTGATGAACAGCTGATGCAGTGATGTCCATTGTGCAGGTAACTCAAGAAGCACGTGTAGGTGTAATCTGCTTTTATAGTTCATGTGCTCACCTGAATTAGGGGGCATCTGCTGTGACCAAATACTAAATAGTAAGAGTGCATGCACCTCTAAAACATATTCAGATGATTCCCCTCAGCTTGTATGCGTCCTGAGGCAGAGACTGATTGATACATGTTGTTTTCTGGTTTGTATAACAGTAACAGCAATGCACTGCAAACCTCTGAACACAGGTAATAAACAAAGAATATACTTAGATGCTGGATACTGAATGTGAATTCTCCCTCAGTAACAGTATACCTTAAAGAGATTTAAAAAAAAAAACTTATTGTCCTTTAGCAGAAAAAGCAAGGAGTTAAAATATCATTTAAAAACTCAACATCTTTTCCTACATCATCTTAACTGCCAGGACAGAGACATATGGATGGGACAGATTTATTGGATTCAGAGGGATTCATACTTCTCCAACTGCTAAGATGCTGGACTGCCTTTCCTTGAAATCAGCAGATGTTAGTGGTCAAATACTTTTGATGTTCTAGTCTTCAAACAATACTAATATGTGACTACACTTAATTGCTTATATTTTGCTGGAAAGCAAGACACCTAGAGAACTTTCTGAAATGCTTATGCAAATGAAAGCAGGACCCTAAATGAACCTATTCTTAGTCCTGCCAATTTCTGCTGAGATTTTCTGACAACTGCATTTAGTCTTGTACCTACAGCTGATAACAAGGGATTAGTATTTTATCTGTGTGCTGTCATCTTGCATTGAATGCATGGAAAGTTTCCTTGCCACATTACATCTCTAAAACATTTGGTGTTTTGAGTGCTACCCTTGGTTGCAGAGCTACCATCTTCATGCTGTTGAAAAAAGGTTTCTCCTCTTTTAGTTAATGAGATGCAATCTTTGCATCTCATTGAAACAGAATAGTAAAGGCTGAGAATAAATAATACTTGAGTTTAGAATAGCACCATTTAGATTAGAATATTGTTATGATCCTGGCCCAGACAAAAAGACTGAAGTCAAATTGTTTTCTTATTGATAAGATCAGAGTGCTATCATGTACTGAGTCATCAGCCTAAGAGATGTATTTCATCTACAGTTTTAACTTTAGCTTTTTCTTTTTCCTTATTTCCTACAGGGGAATATGGTTATCTATTTCCATTCACTATGCTGAAAGCAGGACAGAGAGGAAATCTGTGTTGTAATGCATTTCTTAGTGTGAGAATTTCAAGATGTCTTCCTTGTTATCTGCACTGTGGTGCAGCCTACAGACATCCTAGTTCTAGGTGCTATATACACACAGACAGTGAATTGAATAAAATGAAGAAAAATGAAGAAAATGGAATGTTTTTTTTTTTTTCTCAGCACTTCTGCATTTGAGTCTCACACTGTAATCCTGAGTTATTTTGACAAAGTGGATCTTAATCAGACATTAAAGAACTCACCATTGTGTGTGAGAGCTCAGAATGAGATGGGACAGACCAACTTCTAAATACCCTAACACAACACAGGGGTAATACCTTGAGTCCTAGGAACTGCAGAGACTCAGAGGATACCAGCCAGTCTTCCAGGGCAAGAGCTCCAGGCTGTTCTGTCTGTCAAAAGACTTTCTTGCTGCTGGGGTAAGTCTGAGGGATTTGAAGATTGTGCTAATTTATGCTGTTTTCCCTAGAAATGTTACAAAGTTTTGTTAGCAGAGAGAGTAGTGTGACTAAAATACATCCCTGTCTACCCATGACTTTTAAGTACTTAGAGAACAGGTAATCGCTAAGGTCCATATAACAACCTTCCACAAAGGTATAGTAGCCCAACTGTATGTCTGCAAAGCAGGAGCCAGACAACTGTTGGGTAACCTCAGCTTCTCTGAGGCTGTAGTAAACCCAGACATTATGGACACAAATATCTCTAGCCAGTATGCCATTTATATTGTGCTTCATAATTGAATTAAAAGTATACAAAGAAAGATCCCAACTAGAATCATTACATGTGAGGTTCCATATTCACCTCACTGTAAAAAAAGGAAGCTACAATTCCAAAGCTTTGTAGGTTTTGTACTTTACAACAGAGAAGGCTTGAGAGACAAAAATGGAAGAAAAAGAATGAAGAAGCAAAGCTATGGAGGAGAGTGTCACAACTCCTTACCTTTGGTACAACGTAGATGCAAGAGAAAAGCCTTGCTTTTGGTAACAAAACCCTCCTCCAGCCTTCCGTGGACAAAACTGGTTCTAACAGTGCTTCTGGGACTACAGCTGCCTGGCAAATAAGTGCTTCCCAGCACACAGCATGGGCCATTCGCCCCATGCCCTGTGCCATGCATCACACAGGGACAGCTGCAGGGTAGAGCTCTGAAACGCAGATTGAACTGACAGCTGTCTTGGCCCTTGCTGCAGAAGGTGAATAATACATGTACATGAAATACAGTGTAACAAAGAGCTTTAAGAGAGAAGCCTTTCTGTTCCTAACCCCTCCTCCTAAACCTTCTGCATAGGAGGAACGTCCTTATTCTGCCACTGAAGAGTAACACCAGACTGAATTCACATCTCTTTTCCCCAGTACAACACAAATCCTTCTCTAGGCCCTGCTGCAGAGCCACAGGACAGGTGACAGGTGACTAACCTC